GGTATTTTAGAAATTTTTTGCGAAAAAAGCTGTGCCCTCCCACTTCCCAGAATGGATTAATGCATGACCCTTCACAAATACCTACACAAAAACATCTGACCCTCCCCCCTGAAAGGAAGGCTCAGAGAGGGAGATTGGAGAAAACACAGTCAATGTTGTTAATTGCCTCCTAGATTGTATCAGTAAGGCAGAAACGGATATGAAACATGTAACTGGTGAACAGTTGCAGAGGGTACTGAATCCCGTACTCAATCAGTGTGATGAGGTCTTGAGAAGAATCGCCTGCCTCAGACTGCCACCTGGGTATCCACGCCTACTAGAGCTAACTGATGCTGGTCCAGTAGTGGGCGTGTCCAGTGCAGAGTCCAGAATACGAATTCTAGAGAAAGCAAGAATGCATGGCAATGAAAAGGTCTTGAGAATTCACTGGGCAAGAGAAGACTTGGGACAGAATGAAGCAGAGCGGCTCAATGCATGTATAGGGGATGCTCTGTGTGATGGAGGCAGTCTTAAATGGCAGATATACGACACTTTACATGGACTTTCTGAAGAGGAAGTTAAGTCTCTTTTAACGTCAGAGCTAGAAGCGCACAGCAGTAAAGTCATGGAAAAAAATGCGTGGGTTGTTGCTGAGGAAGTGTGTCTTCGAATTGACAACTCCCCAGCACCAAGGGGGTATATTTCAGCATTTTTGGTTGACCGACCAGAAAATCAATTTTTCTACAACCGTTAGTACTTGAAAGAGTATCTTGGAGTCACCAACAATCAAAAGAGTTCTGTTCCGGGTCATGGGTATTTTTCCAAGCTAGAACAATTTGAGAGCCTCCATTGTGAGAAAAGAAGAGCTTTATATGGAGTACAGGCGAATGTCGTGTCACGAGAGAAATGGCCAACTATGTAAATTTTGTGACAAGGATGAGACTACTAGTGCTCCACTTCCAACTCGACGACCATATCCCGACTATAGCAAACTACCAAACTTCCATTATGTCTCTTGGAGTGCAACCCCCACCAATGGCCGTGAGCCAGACGACTTCCAGCCTCGAGCTCAGATTAAGCGATTGTATGAGGAAAGTAAACTAGCCAGTGGGAACAGTGACGCTATTAGAAAGATTTCAGATAAATACATTGTCCCCGAAAAGCTTGTGGCAGAGTATGTTGAGCACCTTGCCCAGATAAAAAATGTGCAAGGAGAAGAAGAAAGAGGAGACTAAAATGGAGCAAAAGGAACGGCTGAAATGGGACTACAATGATATTAACTGGGTTGGACTGTACAGCGCCGATAAGCTGTCGTCCTTGAAGGTGGACGAGCTATCCTTGTACTTTTCCCATCACAAGATCACCTTCAAAGGTAAGAAAGCTGAAAAGGTTGCAATGATCAAAGCGCACATTGGCAGCTTGCTGTACGATTCAATGGCGTGTCAACAACCTCGGCAGCCCCCGCTAAGAAATGTACAGCAACAAGTGACCTCATTACTTTCCGAGGTTGAAACTGACTCCCAAAGTGATGTAGTAGATTGAGTTGTCAGGTCAAGCCCGAGTAGTTTAAGTAACAAATCGTCACCGGAGACTGATTTAATACCAGAAGCCCACGCGGAAACATTGCTGCCGCCAAAATATGGACAAAAGTGGGCACGGGTCGAGAGAGACAATTATGTTAGTTGGGATGAGATAGCTTTTTGATGTAATATTTCGACACCTGTAAACAATTTAGATTAATCTCGACTAGTAGCTTTGCTTGTATATACAATTTTTAGATTTCTATGTACTTCGTGTGTTTCTTAAAAAATAAGAGTCAACTAAGTGACATGGAGTAATTTTTTCCTTGCCAAAAAAAAAACCTGTCGGTTGCGAATAAAACAGGTTTGACCCTCCCCAATTTGTAAAAAGTTTACTAATGACCCTCCCCTCCGAGGCCCTGGCCCACCCCCCCCCCAATTAAAAACGTACCTTCCCTAAAGAGATTTAGTTCAGAATTGCTATGAAAAAAAGATATTTCATCCAATTCGCAATTCTGACCGTTTGTTAATTCTCTATCTATAGGTTTTCGACTCAGCTTGCTTTGTTATTCGCCTGATGATATCCTTGTAATAAAGATGGAATGTTGCATCACAGTACTTATCTTCTCTCCTGCATGTTAATTATCTATATCTTAGATCTGTAATGCACTTTTTGCACATTTCTCCCATATTATTTCTAGTTGTCAGCTGGTAAACGTTTTCAAATTGCTCGTCTGACTATGCATGCCTTGCGTATCTATTTTATACGACTTGTGACCTCGTGCACATGAGTATAGGCTACTTGGAGCCTCTTATTCCAAATGATTCTTTGCCAATTGCTTTCTGAAGCAAACGTTCCACAGAACTGTGCCCACCACAACAAGAGTTCACGATAAAATTGGGAAGAAATTGTGTAGTCATTAACATTGTAATTACAATTTATAAAGAAAAGACCTCCTACGGGTTTTAATTGGTGTTCTCAGTACCTCTTCCATGTCCCATCATTTCCATTAAATATTCGTTTCAGCCATGCTAGTCTTAAAGATTTAACCACGGAAAAGGCACAGCCTCCTAACATTATCCATAAATGGAAAAGTGATTTTAACCTTTGGGATGATCATTTGAGAGACGTTTTTCTGTTACCTCATTCTGTTGTGCTCAAATCTTATGTTAAGGCTTTCCAGTATAAAGTGCTTAACAACATACTCTACACAAATAAAAAATTATTCAAAATTGGTTACAGAACAGACGATGTTTGTACTTTTTGTGAGGCCAAACCAGAAACTTTGTACAATATCCTTTACCAATGCACTTACTCAAGGCGATTTGGAACAATTTTGAATCTTATTGGTGCCTTTTATCAAATCAACAGGTTCATCTTTCATTGCAGAATGTTATATTTAGTATAATGTCTAAGCAATGCCCTTCAACAAAATTACTAAATTACTTTATTGTTGTTGGAAAGCTATTTTTGTGGGACTGCAGAAGAAACCAAATACATCCTAAAATTAAAGGTTATCAAAACAAAATAGAAAAAAAAAATACGAAACTGAACGCAAGACAAATACATGTAAGAAGGATTATTTTGAAAAAAATGGATATTCAGCCCTGGCCAGATATCAAATCAATATGTTGATAGATTAAATATGTAATATAGTAACCAATTGAAAGAAATAATTTAGATTGTTCGCTCTCTGTACTTATGAAGTCATTCATTCATTTATTTTTTGTGTCCTTTGTTCTTGCTGTTTTTTTTTCTTGTGTACTTTTCTTTTTTGTCACTTGTAGTATAACGTAAGATACTGATGTAAACTTAAAAGCCATTTATTAATTTCTAGCCTATGTTTTTTTCCACAAATATTATTGATGTAAGCCTGAATGGAAATAAAAATGTAAAAAAAACAACAGCAACAACAACGTAACATTTAATAATGGCGGCGAGCAAAGACCACAAGGTCTGATTACATAACAATAAGTCACATGATACAGAAATACATGCTAATTTATGCGGTGTCCATTTAATATGGGGTCTGCTTAATACAGGTTTTACTGTATTATGAGTTCGCTTAGAGAGCCTTTGATTTCTTTTCATAAAGACAGTTGCAGAAATCCCCACGCAATGGTAGTCTCAAAAGGTTTTGGTGAGGGTGTGTACAGTGTAGCACAATTCTCCAACCCAAAGAGATTTTCAGTATCCTATTTCAGACCTAGGAACCTAAAATTGATACCCTAAGGCCTCTATTTGGAAAAAAACAATTGAGAAGGGATTCAAATTCCACAATTTTGATGGGGCAAAAATTTAGCTTCATAAAAACAACATACCAACTTCCACCTGAGAAGCCAAAACATTATCCTATTTCAAACCAAATTGAGTCACTGTAGATACCTTATTTCAGACCAAAATGCCTCAAGATCTACGATTCCCTTTAATGCCATGGAGACCTTAATTGTACAAAATTAATAAGGGAGTAGCCCCCAGGCAGTAAATCCAAGTACCAATTGAAAACAGAATCAAACAACAGTGCAGTTTTTTACCTTCACAAGCTTTTCTCCATAATCTTGCTTCAGTCTATGATAAAGCAGTGTGTACTGATCCAAAGGAACTAGTCTCAGAGATCCTTTTCTATCTTGGTCATTAGTTTGAATCTCCTCTGCCCACTTACACAGTTTAGGAAGTAAGTGAGCTTGCAGCCATTGAACTGTAGGACATAAAATGCCATCCCTCTCACTTTCAGTAGATGTCACTGTTGCACTGTCCTTTAGTTGTAATACAACTCTTAAAATAAAGAGAAAGCATGTTGAATGTTGGTCCCAGCATTATTGGATGATCATATTACGTAAAAGACATGAATGAGCATCACAGTTATGTACTACACAACTTAAACAGCTTAGAAATTACAGCGTGAAAAAAAAAAAAAATCAGGCTTGAATGGGTTTCAAACTCATGACCTCTGAAATACTGGTGCAATGTTCTACCAACTAAGCTATCAAGCAAACTGGGAGCTGGTCACGTGAGTTCATTACAATAATACCTGTAGATGTTAAAGAATGCTACTGAATTTAATTTTGATTTTGTTATAATTTGTATATATAGATTTAAGTTCAACTTTAAACCTCTTAGTATAGCTTTAAATGTTTCAGGAGTATCCAATTAAAGCATTAAAGAACAATGTCATTTGAATTGCGGAAAAAGATGTAAAGACATGAATGATCATCGTAGTTATGTACACAACTTATTAAGCAGCTGTGAGATTATAATTCTAATAGTCTCATGGCATATACAGTTTTTGAAAATCTCTCTGACTCACGGGCCATGCAATTAAATTAAATTAGTTACAGTAATCATCCCAGAAAGGTGGAGATGAGGTCTTTGCCAGCTGGGTTGATAGCTTACCATTCAGTATTTTCATGAGGGTGGCAAAGGGGGGGGGGG